CATCTTGGCAGCCCTGTAGTTTTGTTCTGTTCTGCTTTTTAACCTTTGACTTTATTTCTAGTTTTTTGAGACAGGGTCTCTCTGTGCAACCTTGGCTGTCCTGGAACTCTCTTTATAGACCAGGCTGGTCTTGGATTCATAGAGATTCACCTGTCTCTGCCTCCTGAGTGCTGGGATTAAAGGCATCCACCATCACCCCTGGTCTGTGTACCGTGTGTGTGCAGAGGCCTCGCCAGCCATAAGAGGGCTCTGGATCCTTAAAATTGGAGTTACAGGTGGTTGTATGGTAACATATAGTGCTGGGAACTGAATCTGGGTCCTCTGGAAGAGCAGCCAGTGCTTCTTTCCAGCCTTCTAAGATAGGATGTTGCTATAACCTAGAGTGCCTCACCTTCCAGAGTACTGGGGTCACAGGTATGTACCACCAAGCCATTCCAAGCCTTACTACTTCACGTAAGTGACATATACAACATACTATAGTGCATATATATCTGTATTTGTATCTGCATCTCTCTCTGCCATCAAGCACCCACTCCGTGTGCAGTGCCTTGGCAGTTTGTGTGTCTTCAGTGCCTAGCTCATACTCCTGTGATGTGCTAGCCACATTCATTCTCCTGTTGACTCATGATGCTTCCTGACAGATTTCTTGTGGGGCAGGAGTCCTGAGGGGTTTTGCTCTCAATTCACAGAAGATAGAGCTTGAAGGAGGCTTGAGTCCACACTCCAAGAAGACAATGCAGGAACCGGTGCTTATGCTGTGTGAGACTGCACGCAGGTTCACTCTATGTCTATCACTGGCGTTGATAAGACTGAGAAGTGGGGAGCGTCAGACACAGCCAGGGAGGTTTCCTCCCTCTTTTTTCTCTCTATTTTCCTTCCCAAATCCCCACATCTGCATTGAGAGTCAATTTAGGGCAGCAGTTCTCAACCTTCCTAAGGCTGTACCCCTCTAATACAGTTCTTTATGTCATGGTGATTCCAAACCATAAAATTATCGTCATTGCTACTTTATAACTATGTGTGCTACTGTTATGCATCATAATGTAAATACCTGTCTTTTTCTGATGATCTTAGACAACCCCTGTGAAGCTGTCTTTTGACTGCTAAGGGAGTCACAGCCCACAGGTTAAGAACCACTGATCTAGGATTTTGTACATGCTAGAAACTAGACCACATCTGAGCCATCCATACCACCAGTTACTGGGGATTTTATGGATGGGCTCCACCCCTGAGCCATACCCCCAGCAACTTACTGGGGGATTCTAGGCAGGGCTCCACCCCTGAGCCACGCCCCTTGCCCCTCACTGGGGGATTCTAGGCAGGGGTTCCACCCCTGAGCCACGCCCCTTGCCCCTCACTGGGGGATTCTAGGCAGGGGTTCCACCCCTGAGCCACGCCCCTTGCCCCTCCTGGGGGATTCTAGGTAGAGGTTTCACTCCTAAGCATTGCCCCAAGCCCTCCACTCACTTGACATTCCTGGCACCCCTATTCCCAATTTCCTATTCCCGTTGTCTGCAGACACTGATGTGTTCTGTGTCAGCATAATGCTCCAGGTGAGACAACTGTCTTATAAACCTGTGCCTGAATGCTGGCTTATGAGAGGGGCAGAGAGGGTGGGGTGGAGTAGAATCTCTTCCCAGTGCCAGATCTACTCATGGCTCCCAGCATCCCTTGGACTTGCTCTGCACACCTGGGCTCAGGCTCAATTTACACAGAGGCCCCAGGGGAGCCAGGTATTGGAAAGATTGTCTGATCCCTGGGCTCCAGCACCCAGTGCTGCGAACCATGGTTGCTATGGTGATCACTGAAGCTTCCTTTAGAAGCTGGGAGACAACTCTGGTGCCTGAAGGAGGCAACAACATCCACTGAGAAAAGCCTCGTCCCACAGCCTGTCAGCACTTGCTGACAAGCATCTGAGCATCTCTGCAGGAGTGCTGGGAGTGACCAAGGCAGCAAGCAACCAAGAGGCCACGAGCGAGGGTGAGATACATCCCCTCTTACAGATGACCGTACCTGGCCAGCCTCCCAGGAGGGCTCCTCAGCTGCTTCTGTGAGGTGCATGAGCCTCAGGACCTTGGCTGAGGAAGAATTATCCAGGTGGATGGAAAGCATGGCTGTAGGGCCCCTCAGCCCTGGCACTCGCCAGCGGCTTCTCCAGGGTCAGACAGGTTCTCTGCCAGCACAATTTCCCGGCAGAGCTGTGGTCATCTTCATTAGTTCTACTGTCTCAGGTAAGGCTGGGCAATGCCCCAGGGTATTCTCCAAAAGAAGTGTGTGAGCACACATGAGCTGGTGACCCACATCAGAACATTGTCAGGGCTCCCCCTGGACTCTGTTTCTTTCCCCATCACATAGACTAAACTGCTGGACACAGTGAATGGCTTGGCACTGCAACCAGTGGTCACGAGAAATGCCCTGTGTGCTCTGCTCTTTACGTTTTGCCTTGTGTATGCTTGGAAGTTGCTGGAGGCAGAACCCAGCATTTCCTTTAGAAAAGATTTCCTTTTGTGTTTATTTATTTATTTGATGCTTTTGTCCTGGAGATTGAATCCAGTTTATGCTAGGTGAGCATTCCACTGCTGGGCCACATTCCTAGCCCCCCTCCCCTTATTTGTATACAGTAATTTAATTGTGTGTGTGTGTGTGTGTGTGTGTGGGCACGTGAGCTGTGCAGAGAAGGGACAACTTTCAGGAGTTGCTTCTCTTCTTCTACCAGGTAGGTCCAAGGAATTGAACTTGGATCTTTCAGGCTTGCTGGCAAGCCCCTTCACACAGTGAGCCATCTCAGTAACTAACCCCTGTGCTTTAAATTGTATGTTGGCCCTCTGACCAAGCTATGTGCTTTGTGACAGTACCAGCTGTATACAGCTTTGTCCTTGGCAATATTTACTCTGTTCTTTTTGTTTGTTTGTTTTTGTTTTTGTTTTTTTGAGACAGGGTTTCTCTGTGTAGTCCTGGATGTCCTGGAACTCATTCTGTAGACCAGGCTGGCCTCGAACTCAGAAATCCGCCTGCCTCTGCCTCCCAAGTGCTGGGATTAAAGGTACTCTGTTCTTTACATTAAATAAAACTACACATGAAAATGCCTGATCTGCATTAGCTCCCATTTTTCTTGGTATAAATACTTTTACAGTCAGATTCATACTGCAGGCTGAATTCACCAAGCATGCAGCACTGTCACTGAGCACACAACACTGTCACTGAGCACGCAGCACTGTCACTGAGCACACAGACTGTCATTGAGCACACAGCACTGTCACTGAGTATTCAGCACTGAGCATGCAGCACTGTCACTGAGCACACAGCACTGTCACTGAGCACACAGCACTGTTGCTGAGCTTGGAGCACCATAGGGCACCAGCATCTAATGGTTGATCTTCCAAATGCAAAGCTTCCCTTCCCATCTGCTTGACTTGCAGGAGACGTAAGCTCTGAGTGTGGTCAGGTTCTCTTTCTACTGCAGAGCATGTTCTACTGTCCAATTTTTATTTATTCACTAATTTTTTTTTTATACAGGGTTTCTCCGTGAAACCCTGGCTGTCCTGGAGCTCGCACTGTAGACCAGGCTGGCCTTGAACTCCTGCCTGTGTCCTGAGTGCTAGGATTAAAGGTGTACACCACCATGCACAGCCAAGTTTAAATCTTCAGTAAAGGCTGTGTGACCTCTGGCTGACGTCACATGGATTGCATGTATTTTTTGTCTGTTGGCTTGTCAGTGCTGAGACTGAACCTGGGGTCCCCACGCCCAAAGCTCTCTCTGTATATGCCTGAAAAGTTCAGACACTCGAGCCATGTCCAGGCCCCTGGTTTCAGACTTCACTGTGTCTCTTGATGTGCCCTTCACCCTTACCTAGGCTCTGGCCTGAATTTACTATCTGATAAATGTTTTATGAGCCAGTCCAAACAACCAATAAAGTTGATAAGACGGATTGGGAAAGGAACAGGTGTTTAGGAGATGGATCTCAGACACCACCTTGGACAGCTCCCAAGACAGGCTCTGAATAGATATTGAGTCAGTTACTTTGGGTTGTGGTGGAACACTGCCTAGAATCCCCCAGTGAGAGGCTGGGGGCGTGGCTCAGGGGTGTTGTCCCTGCCTCACCTGTGAGCTCTATGTCAGCACAGCAAACACACAAGCAGCACAAACCTGTTTCACTCTGCAGTTCAGAGGAACTGGGAATAATCCTTTGATGTGTTACAAACGGAGCCTGGAACGGATCAGCCTGTATTTGCATGTGATTGTCTTTGTTTATCTGGCTCGAGATCAGCTGAGAGTCCTGGCTGTGTTTAGTGCATTCTCTTGTTTTGTTGCCTACCAAGGATGAAACCCAGGGCCTCCCTGGTTCTTGGTTCAAGAGTGTATGAGCCCAACCGTGACTGAATCGCGTCTCCCTCGGATAAGGAGGACGTAGTGAAAATTTACACAACTGCATGGGGTTGGAAAGCAGCAGAAAGGCCTCCTGCGTGCTGGGGCCAGAGGCTCCGTGTCCCAGTGTTCCCTGTGCCCCCACACCACACTGGGATCATTCTCCTGGGGCTGAGGCTGAGGCCAGCTTGGGCTGTGAGAGTGTGGAGCTCACACAGGTGACTCCGCTGATGTGGAGTGGTTGGTTTCTTTGGCTTGACTCCATGTCATTTTGAGACTTCATTAATTTTGTGTGTGGTCTTTCGGTGGAGAGAGTTACGTGTGCAGCAGGACAGCATATGTGTGTGGAGGTCAGAAGGCAACTTTCAGGAAGAGTCTGTTCCTTCTGTCCTGTGGGGCAGGTGGGCAGGTTTGGCAGCAAGCTCCTCTACTGCTGAGCCATCTTGCTGGCCCCATATTTCTCGTTCTTGTTATCCTCCTCCTTCTCTTCTTCTTCCTTTTCCTGCTGTTCCTTTTATGATATTTAGGAGGACTCCAACCTTGCAGGGGTCTGATGAAAGACAGAGCACAGTAGTGGGCTGGGCAGACTTCTGGAATCTTCTCTCTGACACCCTCCTGACTATGCCTTGTAGATATGGACACAGAGCGAGAAGCCCTGCAGTGCACAGCCTACCCCGAGGTTCAGAGTTTCTGCCAGAAGCACGGCTTGGCGTTCGAGGTAAGCATCTGGGCTCACCTGGAAAACCACACCACCCCTTGCCTTCTGTTTGGTGTTTTAGTGTTGGGTCTCAAAACTCAAAATGTTTGTTTTCTGAGACGAGGTGTCATTTAGCTGAGGCTGGACTTAAACTCATTGTGTAGCCGAGGACAGTGTTGAATTTGTGACCCTCCTTTGCTTACCTCCCAAGTGATAGGATGATAGATGTGTGCTCCCAAGTCCAGACGACGCAGTGCTACAGATGGATCCTTGTGCTTTGTGTGTGCTAGTCAGACCGAGCTACATGTCTGAGAGCTCCACCTTCCTCCGCATCCTGAGTGCTGGGATTAAAGGCATGTGCCACCGTGAGGGTCCCTGTGAATGGCATGGTCAGTGGAGAAATGATCTTCGAGAGGCAAGAAGGAACCCAGTTCAGTGAGACTTAGCCAGGCTGTATCAAATTTCTGGAGTCTGACTCCAGGCCGTTTGTTTTGGATATGTTTCAGTACAGTATAGTTTTTTCAAAACGTGTTTTTTCTGGTAACCATTATCTCAATCCTGTGTTCATATAATAAACTGTGACCACATGGAAACTCTTTGGCAAAGGACATGTGACCTCTACCATGAATATGGGCTCTATAGCTTAAGGCTCTAGGATCGGGTGTGGTCTCTGGCTGAGATAGCATAGAAGACAGCAGGCTATAAAGTACAGATTGCATTTCCCCTACAAATGGGTTTTGTTGACTGAGAAAGTTTCTAGGTAAGGTCTTGGGGGGAAGAATCTGGTATAACAAACCTCACCAGGCTATTCACTGCATCTCCTCCCATCCTTCTGGGTGGTCTATAGCTCCTCCACTGAGGAGACAACTCTGTGCCATGGGCAAGGCTGGGTTCTCCAGAGAATTTCTGTGAGCACCCCTGCCCTCTGCATACCACCGAGTGAGCTGTCACAGTGGATTTTTAAACAATATTTATGTAATGTTATTTTACACGATTGGGTGTTTGTCTTCATGCATGTCTATGCACCACATGTGTGCAGTACCTGTGGAGGCCAGATGAGGGCGTCAGATGATTCCCTGGAACTGGAGTTACAGATGGACTGCGTGTGAGTGCTGGGAACAGAACTTAGGTCCTCTGCATTGCTTGAGCCAAGAATTCAAGGCCATCCTAGAAAGCATAGGGAGATGATGTCTCTAAATAAACAAGTAAAATGAAGTAAGCAGGACTTGAGAGGGTCGCTCTCCCTCGTGTGAGGGCTCCGAGTCCGTCATCAGCACCACCAGAACAGAACAGTGACAGAAAGGGACTCTTTCACACGGACTGCTCCAAAATTGCTGTGCTTGTCCTTTAACACCCTTGTGGCGCCCAGGCAGACAGCACCAGCACCCGACTAGCCTGGTGGGGAGGGGAAGGGAAGGGGCTGCCTCTGGAGGCTTCCACTCACGGCTTCTCCCCTGCCTAGCTCCTCTCAGCCTTGGTTCTCATTGCTGTAATTGTTCCTGCATTTCTTTCTCTCTGGCTACAGAATTCACAAGGCAGAGCGAGCTCCTTTGTGTCCCTGTCTTTCCAGCCTGCACAGGGTCAGTGCTGCAGGCTGCCTTCTGCCCAGCTCCCTCCCACCCTCTCTTTCCTCACCTCTCCCAACCCCCCACTTCCCTGCTGGTCTGTGGGCAGAGGTGGACCTCATGTGTGGTTGCTAAGGAGAATTTGCTGGGTCACTTCCTGCTGTTCTCAGTTCTATCCCTCACAAAATGTGTTCCCAGCAAGCTTGGACATGCCCTCCTTTTAAAAGGAATGAAGCAGAAAAACACCCAACTTCCTTTAAAAATGTTAAACTGTTGTTGAGACAGAGTCTCATGAAATCCAGGCTGACAATGACCTCTCTGTAGCTAAGGATGGCCTTTTGTTCTGGATTCTCTTGCCACTACCTCCAAGTGCAGAGATCAAAGGCATGACCCCATCGTTGCCTCCCCTTCCCCCATCCCCACACACTAGACACTGGGCATCAAACCCGCAGCTTTGTGTATGCTGGGCAAGCACTCTACTGTAAGACTCTAGTGAGCCTTAGTTTACCGGAGTGAACAGCACGGAACCGGGGATCATTGCAAAAGCAAGAGGAATTTTACTGTTCCAGCATGCTGGGGTCATCCTGCATCCAAAAGGAGAGGCGACCCTGGGCAGCTCATTCAGCGGACATTTATACAGTTTCCAGGGGTAGCATAGGGAAACAGCAGCTAGGCACAGTATGATTGGCAGAACAGTGACTTTTAAACTGATGGTCTTTAGGGAATGAGATGGCAGGGACTTCCCTTGTCTGCGGGTGGCCAACAGTCTGTCCTGTGGGATGTGTCCATGTGCTCTGGGCCTCTCCCACCCCCAAGTCGGCCTTCTTCAGACAACAGGAGACTAATGTTGATTAGTCTCTCTCTTCCAGGGCCTTTCCTGAGCTGACCAGGAACGTTAATTAGCCTCTCTGTTCCTGAGCTGACCCCTTTACTACCAACCAAGGCACAGACTCAGCCCTACCAAGCCAATTTTTATTTTTTATTTTTAAATTTATTTGTTTTGCCGGGCAGTGGTGGCGCACGCCTTTAATCCCAGCACTTTCTTGGGAGGCAGAGGCAGGCGGATTTCTGAGTTTGAGAGTTCGAGGCTAGCTTGGTCTACAGAGTGAGTTCCAGGACAGCCAGAGCTATGCAGAGAAACCCTGTCTCGAAAACAACAACAAAAAATTATTTGTTTTATGTATATGAGTACACTGTTGCTGTCTTCAGACACACCAGAAGAGGTCATCAGATCCTATTACAGATGGTTGTAAGCCACCATGTGGTTGCTGGGAATTGAACTCATGACCTCTGGAAGAGCAGCCAGTGCTCTTAATCACTGAGCCATCTCTCCAGCCCTCAGTTTTTATTTTTAAAGGTTTATTATTATTATTATTTTACTTATGTGCATTCGAGCCTGTGGGCGTCTGTGTGTCATGTGTGTGCAGGTGTCTGTGGAGTCCCAGACCTAGGGCTCCAGGCTGTTGTGAGATCTGTGAGATGCTCAGTGGGAGCTCTGAGGACTGAGCTCAGCGCTCTGAAAGAGCAGCAGACGCTCCTGCCTCAGTTAGGGTTCCGTTGCTGTGAGCAAATACCATGACCAAGGCAACTCTTATAAGGACAACATTTAATTGGGGCTGGCTTACAGGTTCCGAGGTTCAGTCCATTATCACCGTGGTGGGAACATGGCAGCGTGCAGCAGTCACGGTGCTGGCGGAGCTTGGTTTTACATCTTGATTCAAAGGCAACCAGAAGAGACTCTCTTCCAGGAAGCTAGGAGGAGGGTCTCAAAGCCCATCTTCACAGTGACACACCTACTCACTCCAACAAGGTTAAAGTGAACCTTAGCTACCAGGAGACCCCCAACCAAGACTCAGGAGACCCCCAACCGAGAACCAAGTTCCATGCAAAAGCAAGAGGTTCATTGTTCCAGCGGGCTGGGGTCATCTTGCACCCAGAGGAGAGGTGAACCCTTCTCTTTCTTTCACAAATTTTTTATACAATTTTCGAGAGCAGATTATAGCAACAGCAACTAGGTGTGTAATGATTGGTGGTCCTGGTGTCCTTTACATTAATTGGCTGGGCAGGGAAAGGGACTTTGGGACCTTCCTTAAGACTCAGTGGGAAGTTCCAAGCTGGGGTTCTCTCAGCCACACCTCCTGAGAGTGCTATTCCCAGAGCCAAGCATATTCAAACCACCACTGCTCCTAACTTCTAAGACAGCCCTCCCAACCCTCCAAACCTGATTTTATGTAAACTCCCCCCCCCCCCCCCACACACACCTTAGCATCAGGATCCCAGGGAACTTTCCTTGAAGTTCATGACCAAGAACTGAGAGAGAGACCACTGGGAATCCTGGAAGAAACCCAAAGAAGGCTCCCTAGTCTGGGTCCATCTCTCTCTTTCCTCATAATTACACCGAGGAGACACTTTCTTTTTTTCTTTTTTCTTTTTTGATTTTTTTTTTTTTTTTGAGTCAAGATCTCTCTCTGTAGCCCTGGTTGTTCTGAAACTTGCTCTGTAGACCAGGCTGGCCTCGAGTTCACTGAGATCAGCCTGCCTCTGCCTCCTGAGTTTTGGGATAAAAGGGAGAGCTACTTCTGTTCTTTTATTCTGGTACAAAATGGAATCTGGGGGTTGTGAGCATTTTGTAAAGCACCTGCCACAGACCACATCCTCAGCCCATCACTGGAGATGCTACGGAAGCAATCTACCACTTCCCTACATCCCTAACTTCAAATTTGTCTAGTCAAGAATCCCCTTAGAGGAGAAATGCTGCAGAGCCGATCGGAAGATACTATGTTTCAGTCAAATGAAATAGAAAAACAAAAGTGACTCATCAGAACCTCATCCTTCTGATCCCCAGGCAGTTGATCTGAGGTGGGGTATTCCGAACACACAGGCCGCTGACTACTTGACCACAGAACTCTGCTTAGAAGAACTGGAGCGCTGTCAGAAAACGTCCATAGGACCAGCTTTTGTGGTGAGCGTCCTATTCTTTTATCCATCACCAGAATGTGGTCCCTGACCGCAAACCAAACAAAAGATCTCACATTCCCGTCCTCAAAGATGGGTCATGACAGAAGTAGTGCCAGGCATTAGTAATCAAATACAGCAGTAAGTGATCTGGAGAGCACAATGCTGGAATTTTTCAGGTCGATCTGAAGCTTCCTTCACCCTTCACACCTGGTCCACTTTACATCTGTGAAATTTGGGGGATTCTGGGAAACAATAGAGAAAGTAGAAACCCACATTCTTGGGAGTTTTTTTGGGTTTTTTTTGTTTTTTGTTTTTTGTTTTTTGTCTTTATGTTTCTGTTGGTCTGGTCCACTCATACACACACCTGTATGTCTTCTGTCACCAAGATAATCCCTAAGCTGGTGACAGAGTAGGCCTGTGATTCCAGCATCCAGAGGACAAAGACAGATGGATCTCTGGAGCTCACTGACAGCCAAGCTGGGCAATTGATGAGCTCTGGGTTCCTGGAGTGATGCTGTCTCAAGAGATAAAGTGTGGGCTGGAGAGGTGGCTCAGAAGTTAGGACCTCCTGTGTAGACCCTGCACCCTCATCAGGCAACTCAAGTTATGCTAGTAACTCCAGCTCCTGGGGATCTGACTCCCTCTTCTGGCCTTTGTGGGTACTGCATTCACAATAGCACACACTCTCCCATTTAATTAGAGGGAGAACCGAAAGTCATACAGTGTGAACCTTTGATTTTCACATGCAGAGGTCATGTATGTATGCAAACACACACACACACAAACACATGCACACATATGTGTTCTCAGTTCTTTTTCCATGCTTCTAAGTTTAATTTCCCAGAGACCTGACAATCAAAGGAGAACTGGATTTTGTTTTTCCTTTGAGGAGGGTTCTCAGGTAGTCCAGGATGACGTCAAGCTTACCATGTAGCTAAAGCTAGCCATTAACCCAATCCTCTAATCCTTCTGCCTCTAACTTTGGAGTGTAGGGATGGTAGGCCTATGCCACTAGCCTGTCCAGTTCTGGGTATGTGTGTGTGTGTTTGTGTGAATGTGTACATGTGCACATATGTACATATGCATGTGTGCATACATTTGAATGTATATATGCCTGTATGTGTATTGTGTACATATGCATATATGTGTGTGTGCATGTATGCATGTGGGTGGGGCCCAGGCCTTGGCTTGAATGTGGAGGTCGGAGAACAACCTGCAGGAGGTGCTTCCCTTCCTCTCCCCTGTGGGTTCTAGGGATTAAACTTGGCTGTCTGGTCCATGGCAAGCGCATTTACTCACTGAGCCATCTCAACAGCCCTGAAAAAAGTTTTTTTTTAAAATGGGAAGTCCCCAAGCTACCCCCCAAACAGAGGGGTGGGTCTGGGAGACACCTCAAGGGGAGCTAACTCTCAGACCACACTGCAGGCTGGAAATAGCACAAGGTGGCTTTAGCTGCATGGGGGATGGATTGTCCTCAGACCTCCCTCATGTCCGTGCCACCAGTCCTGGGAACCTTCTAGACCTGTGGCTCCACAGTTGAGCTCTACTGACTCCTCCTGCGGCATTGCCCTCTCTGCCCCAGAACCTGCCTGTCACTGCCACTAATGTTAGGGGGACTTTCCATGAAAATCAGACCCACACTGGTGCCCTGGAGAGAAGATTCTGTGGTAAATAACTCATTAGCAGGTCCCAGGCTCCCCAGGCTCCTCCTTTAGAGGCTGGGCCTCTGGGGGCTCCAGTATTAAGGACTCCTGGTGACAGCTCCCAGCACCTCTCTCGCTCCCATCACGCTAAAACAAGCGAGTGAGCACTTGCCTGTGGCTTTAGCCCCAAACCTCCCTTGTGAGGCTGGAAGGGCCTTCGGCCGGCCATCTCATTCCTGTGAGGCCAAAAGGGACCCAGGATTGGTGGCCTGAGCCTTTCTGTTCAGCTGCTCAGAGGGCTGAGGCAGGAGCTAACCTGGGCAACATGAGAGCAGAAACTCACTAGTTTTCTTCACATGTGCACATATGCACCCCCTCCATATGTGCACAAGCACACTTGCATGCACAGGAGAGTGTGTAGGCCTGAACACACTGGCCTACTTGAATTACTAATATTGAATGTTTCTCTCCGCTCTCCTCCCCTCCTACGAATCCTTCCTCCTCCATCTCCTCTCCTTCCCTCCCCGCGCCCTTTGTCACCACTCCCCTTCCCTCCTCCTCCACCTTGTAGCTGTTGCTGAGGCCCCCATTCATCTGAGACAGCCTTCCTTTGCTGTCCACATTGGCCTAGATTTTATACACCTCCCGCCTCAGCCCCCACCCTGAGTGTGGGAGGTTGTCTTCACACCAGCTTCTTTGTGCATAGTCACACCATCAGGTGACTATGCACACCAGGTGTTCATGGTCTCAATGTGCTTCCTTCACAGTCCCAGAGTTCAGTGTCAGGTGGGATTTGAACCCATGCCTGTCTTTGTCTGTCTCCCTGCCAGGCCCTCCTGGGTGACCAGTATGGCCCCTGCCCTGTTCCCCAGAGGATTGAGGAGAAGGAGTGGGAGGCACTAAGGGCTCAGCTGACCTCCAGGCCTCGAGATCTGGAGCTGGTGACCAGACATTTCCAGAGAGACGACAATACCATTCCTCCCACCTACGTCTTGCAGCCTCCAGGCACACCGGTGGTCCCAGGGCCAGAGGAGGCCACCTTAACCTCTGTCCTGAGAGGTGGAGCCCAGGAGGCCTGGAGGCTAGGCCTCATCAGCCAGGAGCAATGGATGTGCTACCAACGATCAGGTGAGACCCAGGGAACCTCCAGGGGTCCATAGAACACAGGACACCCAAGCCAACATGTCCCCCATGACCTCAAATGCAAGTTAAGTGTATCATCTCAGTCAGTGTTAACCCTGCTAGGCTCTGCACAGCCTTGGCCAATGCCAGTCTCTAGGTCCCTCCAGATCCCTGGCTCTGTCCTCCTGTCTCCCAGGGTGACTGCCATCTCAATTTGCCTGGGACTGAGATTGTTCAGGAATGTATATACGTTCTTTTTCTTTTCTTTTTTTCCTTGCCTTTTCTCCCCCCCTTTCTTTCTTTCTTTCTTTCTTTCTTTCTTTCTTTCTTTCTTTCTT